AACAACAAATACAATTTAAATTAGTCTCTCCAACCGATATTTGTCCTTTGCCCTCATATAAAAAACAAAATACAGTGAGCAGAAGATCAGGAAAGGCAGTAGTCATTACTCACACGCCATATAAGAAAGAGTTGCAGGCAAGCTTAGAGAAAAGACAGATGAAAGCAATTCCCAAAAAAAATTGGATGCTAATTTAAACCAAAATAGCATATCCACACAAAATCAACCCTCCACATCTGGAGCTAATAGGTCAATCAACCAGAACCAGCCTTCTACATCTAGTGCTAAAAGGTCCAAAAGGATTCGGATACCTTCCCACTCCAGTTCAAGTTCAGAATCTAGCGGAAGCCTTAAGTTGGATGATTTATCCTCAGACGAAAGCGGTGGAAGCGATGCTGAATGCTTATTTTGTACGGGTCGATTTTCTGAAGATAAGAAGGGCGAAAAATGGGCCAAATGCAGCCATTGTAGTAGATGGGCACATGAAGATTGTGGAGAGATTGCCAATAAAATTTTCATTTGCACTTTCTGTGAAGGGAAGGGGTTTTTCGAATAGTATCTTAAATAAGGGTACCTATCTCAAATTTGGATAACTATCTATCTCAAATTAGGGAACCAGCTGTAAATCTACAAAAATGTTTACTTTTATTTAAATACACTTTTCGCCTGTAAAAGAAAACATTTATAGTTATTTTTTTTAGTTTAGAGTATGCTAGGAGCATAAAATCGCAAGTTTATTTAAATATATAACCTTGTTTAAAACAAAAAGTATTTTATTTTCCCTTCACAAAAAAAGTATCTCAAATTTGGTTCCTCTCCTCTACATACAAAAAGTAACTTAGAGCTTTATTTAAGAGCAGCAAAAAAAACAGAAGCACTTGACAAGAACACATCAGTATTATCCAGTGCGACAAAAGTCACAAACATAATCATCCTTATCAGCACCTGCACAATCGACATGACACCACATATTGCACATTAAACGTTGAACCCATAGTTCTCCTTTGCGGTCTTCGGAAAATCTGCTTTCACAAAAGATGCATTCTGCATCTAAATCATCTGGTTCCTTTTGTCCAGGCATATCATCCATATCTAAGTCATCATCTGCTAACACCAGCTCTGTTTCGTCGTCATCACTTTCAGATTCTCCTAAAGATCGCTGCTTTTTATTCTCCTTTGAAGTTATGGACGATGTATTTTTGGTTGATTGAGAAAACACCTTTTTCTTAACAGACTTAATCTCTTGTTTAGTTTTATTGGCAGTGCTCAACAATAATTCGTCTTTGTAAGGGGACGAAGTAATTACCGCTGCTTGTGATGCTTTTCTACCCCTATTAGTTGTTTTCTTTTTTAAGGTCGGAACTGGTGAAATATCAAAGGGGGTCACAATTTTTTTTTGGATTCCAGATGGTCCAGGTTGAGCGCAGTCGCGATTGAGTAGCTCTACATCTGATTGAAATTTACCACATGGGCCAGGTGGAACGTTGTCTAGACTAGGAGGCTCTAGATCTGATTGAGATGTGCCTGGTGAACTCTCAGCGAAGTCATTTTCAGCGGTACAGTGTTCTTTTCCTTTTTCTATTTCGGCTGCAAGAAAGTCCACTTCTGAAAAAATATTCTTGTTAAGCGGAAAAATTCCAGTAACGCGGAACCCGTTTACGGCGATTTCTCCAGTCTGACTTTGAGATAAGCCTTTCCCAAAGGTTCGCCAATATCATATTGGGTTAAGGGACGATGATTATGACGAATCCATTGTCTAATCTCCTCACTGTAGTAAAATTTTAATGTACCCATGAAAGTTTTGTCAAGAGGTTGCAATTTATTTGTTCAATGAGGGGGTAATGAGATTATCCAAACATGATTTTCTCTCGCCATAATAACAACCTCTAAATTACGGGTATGACTATAGTGTCCATCTAAAATTAGAAGAACAGGCGAAGATGCAGTCGGTTTTACCGTATTAATGAAATGTTTGAACCACTGGGCGAATAACGCAGCCTGAACCCATCCACTTGGGTGAACAGCTGATATTGATCCTGGAGGAGTGCCTTTCATTAGTTGCACATTCATATTTTTTTTAGGAAATATGAGCATTGGTGGAACGAAGTCTCCCCCTGCATTCATGCAGGTTATCAAAGTGACTAATGATGTTAAAGATGCAATTTGTTTTTTGCCCTTACGACCAACCACTTCAGCCACTTTTTTTTGCACAACAGTTAGACCAGTCTCATCTACATTAGAGACGCGATTAGCTGGGAAGCTGTGGTTTTCATATGTTTTTTCCAAAAGTGTAAAGAAGTTGTCCACAGTCTCTTTGTTGAACCCTCTGGCGCGAGCAAATGATGTCCCAGTAGGTTTTCTAACTGACAAAATTTTGTGCCTTTGCAGAAATAGATCTAACCAGCCCCTTCCTTCTGTTTGTGTGTTCCCAAAAGGATGCCTTATGCCGTTTTTTTCCGCCAAGTAAAATGCCATACGTTTAACGTCTTTGCGGGTTAAACCATAAAACTTGGCTTCCATTACAAGGATATAGCGAACTAATGCTGCTTCCAATTCTGGAGTCAAAACTGTACCTCGCCCTAATTTGATCTAAACAGCCTCCTCTACGCTAAGATGGTCCATTTTGGCCAATCGCTGAACTGTAGTCCTTGAAACGCCAAAAGTTTTAGCTGCCTTTAGAGTTCCCATCGTTTTTTCTCTTACCGCTCGAACAGCCCTTTTCATATGGTCTACATCCCATGTCTTCCGTTGCTACAAATATGGGCTAGTCCCTATTACAAACTTAATACCAGCCCATATTGCACATAACCTCCAAAAAGTTTGAAACTCCACAAATATTTTATATCTTGTATCTGAATATAATTAAAGACAACATCAAAAATATGAACCTTATTTTCAATTGTGATCTATAAAAATCAAGTTAAATACTAAAACCTACTTAGTTACAGAGACAAATAACCACCACTGCAAAATTCATAAACACTGTAAAAGACCAAATCACACGAAACTGAATTGTGTATGTGAAAAGAAGAATTCTGTAATCAACAGGCGGTCACGTGCACTAAAGCGCATATAATTGTTACATTACTCGATAGATGACTCTAGGTGCATCGGAAATATCAACGTAGCCCATATTCCCTACCTAGCCCATATTTATACCCCCTCCTCTACTATTTGTTATTAAGGCTCAGATACATGCATTATCAAGTTATGTGTGAATTCATTATCAAACTTATGTTTATACATGCTAGCTGTAAACTTGAGATTAAGTTAAGGTGGGATGGTATTGTGGAATATTTCACAATATCAACCATACGAGTGTTCCACATTATCGGACCTATTGCTTAAGAATATTGAATTTGTTTATGTTTTTGACCATATGTGTTGTTTCATTTCAGAAAATGCCTTCTAAAGGAATAAAACAACACAACTGGTCAGAAAATAATATGTTAGAAGCAGTTAAGGCAGTACAGAGTAAAAGAATGGGCTACCTTCTCGCTGCAAAGACTTTTAGCGTTCCACGGGCTACCCTCTTCAGATATTGTCAAATTCATAAAGATGATCAAAATCTAAGAAAACATAAACTAGGAAGAAAACCAATATTATCGCAAGAATTAGAGCAAAAGCTGGTTGAATATCTTATAATGATGGATAAGAAATATTTTGGTCTTACAAGAAGGGATGTGCGTTCAATAGCCTTTCAGTTGGCAAACTGAACAATATTCCTAACCCATTTTCACTGCTCAGTGAATCAGCAGGAAAAGATTGGCTCAAAAGGTTTTTAAAAAGGCACGAACATGTACTTAGTGTTAGGAAACCGACCGGCACCTCCATAGCTTGAGCAACTGGATTCTGCAAGCATAAGGTTGCTGAATTTTTTGACATCCTGGAGAACTTGATGGACGAGAAAAAATGCCAGGCCAATAGGATTTATAATGTTGACGAGAGTGGCTTTTGCATAGTACAGTCAAAGTGTCCCCATGTCATATCTGTAAAGGGCAAGCGTCAAGTCGGAGCGCTAACTTCAGCTGAACGTGGATCTTTAATAACAGTTGTCTTGTCTATGAACGCAGCTGGCAACTTTGTGCCACCAATGATCATTTTTCCAAGAAAGAAGGGCAGTGAACAACTAAAAAAAGGAGCACCACCGGGGACAATATTTCGCTTTCATCCATCCGGGTGGATTCAATCAAATCTTTTTACAGATTGGTTCAATCAATTTATTGATTTTACACAGCCAAGCGAAAATAATCCTGTATTGCTGATTCTAGATGGGCATTACAGTCACACCAGAAATTTGGATGTGATTTTAAAAGCTAGAGAAAAGCATGTAACTATTTTATGTTTACCTCCAAAAACTACCCACAAGTTACAACCTCTAGATAAAACTGTGATGTCAGCATTGAAAACGTATTACAGTGAAGAAATCAGGATATTTTTAAGAGCAAATCAAAGAGCTATAACTCATTTTGACATATCTGAGCTATTTGGCAGGGCATACCTGAAAGTGCAAACTGGAGAACGCGCGGTCAAGGGATTTGCTGTTACGGGCCTTTATCCAGTAAGACGCAACGTTTTCACAGAAGACGACTATTTGGCAGCAGAAGATAATAGTGAACATAAAGAAACAGAAGATGAACCCGTGTTGAGAGAACAAATCCAGAATGAAGAGACATCTCCTGGATCAGAAACCCTGGTACTCCCTGAAGATATAATGAAAATACCAAATCTAAAAAATAAACAATCCAATAGGGGAAGAAAATCAGGGAAAGCGAAAATCATTACATCTACACCGAACAAAGATGAACTTGAAGCTTCTATAAGCATCTCAAATAACAAGAAAAAAGAAGTGAAGAGAAATCTGGCTAATCCATGCACTACTTGATCTAGGCAAGCAACTAGCTCTAAAGGTCATCCATCCAAAAGACAAAAAAAACTCTCAATAAGTAGTTCGGAATCAAGTTGCACTCCCTCGGTTCACGACTCTTCAGATGACGAAAATGATATCTCCATTCAAAATACCAGTGGTGATGCAAGCTGCATATTTTGCGAAGGAAAATTTTCAGAAGATGTACGCGGGGAAGTCTGGGTTAGATGTGAGATCTGTAACAATTGGGCGCATGCAGAATGCGGAGGAGTGGAGAAGAAAGATATTTATATATGCGATTTGTGCAAGTAAACCAAAATATATAGATATGCAAATGTTGACATCGTTTGGTTCCTTCGTTGTTTTATAGAATATACATTTATTTATTTTTGTTCACCAGTTTTAAAAACGCTGTACTATGTTTTATAGACAAAAACTATGTAGCACTTTTGGTTGTGAAATATTGTTCAATGTTTGTACAAACCAACAAAAATATTATTATTCCACATTACCAAGCCATATTCCACATTACCAAACCCTAGTATTCCACATTACCATACTAATTTTCGATGGCTACATATTACATGCTTCGAATATTTTCATTTTTACAAATGCATGGAGTAAATATATGCGACCTAAATTATTTCAGCTATTTGACAGAACCTCACAGATATCAGAACTACTTGATTTATTTGAATGCCTCAAATTAGTATAGAATTATAGGCTTCAAATGAAAAGTATTCCACATTCACCAACTCTACTATATATCTCAATTTTATAGCGCGAAGGAAGTGTTTTCTGTGCGTTTATAGGTTATGTTGTTTTACTGACATTTTCTAAGTGCCTACAAATTATTCGGACCATTTTGGAAGATAGTTTTAGTTGTGCTGTGTGTTCTGAAACTTACTGAGTGAGGTTCAATAATAAAAATGTCGTGGAAACGGCACGAAAAACAAAACGAACAATTAAAAAAATGGGCAGAAGAAATTACAAATATGAGTGACGAGGATGTGGAGCTTATGAGCAGTGCATCTGCTGAGGATGTCGACGACTCAGAGGCTGACAAAAACTATAGACCAAGCACGTCCGATAGTTCGGATACGAGGATCGTCCATCTACAAAAATTGAAACAAAAGCTAAATAACAAAAAATACATTAATTTTTTTATTTTTTATATTTTCCAATTATTGTAGGAAACAAAATCAACTTTCCTAATTTCGCTGAAACTCGCAGAGTTGTTCTTGACACATGTGAGACAAAATGGACTTTTTATTCACGATATTTTATCTTTGCATATGACCAAGTAAACTTTTTTAGGTATACCAAACCATGGAATATCTGCAGACTCTGGAGAGTGCACCTCAAGTAATGTCAATATTCCACTTAGCAATGATAGAAACAAGACACTTTTCGTGGATAAGGATAATATAACCTGGAGGAACCCTTCTGGTCGAAGCCTAAACAATTTCGATTTTGATACAACAAACGGAATACTCTCCAACATCGTGGAAACCTTCATTGGAAAAACAGAACTTGAAATATTCAAGTTATTCGTCGATGATGAACTAATTCACCTTATGGTGCGGGAATCAAATCGTTACGCTGAACAAGTAATAACTGAAAAAATCTGCGATGATTCAATAACACGGCACTCTCGTCTGAATGATGGGGTAGAAACCAGTGCAATTGAAATTCATGTTTTTTGGGCATAATTCTGTGGATGGGCCTAGACAGAAAGCCTTCTCTGTCTCACTACTGGAGTCGATCTGAATTGTATAATAGTCCTGCTTGTAAGTTTATGCCCAGAAATTTTACTCCCCATGTGGCATTTTGCCGACAATCAGAGACTGTGTGCATTGATGAAATTATGGTGCCGTTTAGAGGAAGATTACGATTCCGACAGTACATGAAAGGAAAAAGGCACAAGTTTGGAATAAAAATATTCAAGCTCTGTGGAGATGGCGGTTACACCTACAAAAAATTTATTGTGGCAAAGAATCTAAAAGGGATGGAGTTTCAGTTGCAGACAAAGTAGTTTTCGAGCTCATGAACAATCTACTTGATTCTGGCAGGATTTTAGTTACGGATAACTGGTACACTAGTGTGGGATTGGCGAGAAAACTATTAGCACGATCAACTCATCTTGTTGGGACTTTACGTAGTAATCGTAAATGCAACCCCAAAAATGTCATCACAACTTCTGTAAAGCGCGGCCAAATCCTAGGCATGGAAAGTGACGATGGCATAACAGTATTCAAGTGGAAGGACAAACGTGATGTCCTTATGCTTACTACAAAACACAGTACAGAAAAATCTGATCAAGAGAGACAAAGACCCGTTGCCATTATGGAATACAATGCAGGCAAATCATTCATAGATATCTCTGATCAGAAATCGTCTTATCCTTCGGCTGTCAGAAAAGCTTTGAAATGGTATCGGAAGGTAGCAGTAGAGCTTTTAATGGGAACAACAGTCGTAAATTCGCTTTTTCTTTATAATAAAGTCAATAGAAAAAGTACATCCATAATAAAGTTCAGGGAAAATTTGTGCTCACAGTTCCTTCACTATGGACAGCCCTCCAATGATAATATAAGAAGACCACCACAGAGCACTCAGAAGTTAGAAGTTGCAAATAACGACAATAAAATAATTCGAAGTCGTTGCAAGAACTGTTATACAAGATTTCCTGAGGCGCAGGGAAGGAAATATGCAATGAAAATGGCCAAGACAGTACGCTACATATGTGCCGGATGTCCCGAGAAACCACATATGTGCAAGGAATGCTTTTATAAATTACACAACATTTCGTAAATACATTACTTTTCTTCATATATAGGCATCATAATTATGTTAATAAACTTGAATCGTCTATAAAAATGTTAACTTTTGTTCACTTTATACCTATAAATAAAAATTGGTACCAACCAAGCATTAAAGTTAATATATTTAGGTCATTTGTGGAAAAAGGTCCCCTACGCCAGGGCTATCTGAAACCCCATAAATATATACTAGAACTGTGCGAGTTTTAGACACACAAAGCGAATACCACTTCTTGAACGTGTGCGTCAATATGGCGCATATGGCGTTCAGTGTAGAGGCCGTGTGTGCCAATTTGACGCACATGGCAGTTAACACGTTCGCGACGAGGTTAGTTTTATGTATCCATGCAAAAAAGTGTAATATTTTTTTGTTTATTTTCCGTTATATTTTAATCGTCCCTGAGTTAAAATTTTGCCTCACAGTCGTTGTGACCCACGGGTGGGTCACGGAAATATAGGTTAAGTATGCGGCAAATACATAAGATTGTTTTGTTTCAGATAATTCTTGAATAGCAGATCAGAGTAGCAGACCTGTGAGAATGGGTTCCAGATCCCACAGATTACTGGCTCTTGCCAAAAGAAAGCAGATCAACAAATTGTTCAAGAAGCAGCATCCCTGGAAGATCTAAGATCGTCTGTAGCATTCTCAGGACATCACAGTCCGACTGTTGCATCCCCGGAAAATCTAAGCCCACCTGCAACGTCAACAGAAAATTTAAGTCTAGCTGCAGCATCCCCAGAATATCTAAATCCGCCAGCAGCATCTCCGAAAAATCCACGTCCATCTACTTCTGGACTACAAGGAAGATTTGAACATCTATCATCCTCAGAATCCGACCCATTTGAGGATTCTGAAGAGTCCTATAGGCCCTCAGATGAGCAGGATGTGATGAAAAATGCTCTTTCTGATGATAACAGTTCTGACGATTACTCTAGTGACAACAGTTCGGCAAGCGATACAGACGTAAAAGCAACAGTAAATCCTGCCAAATGGGGACCATTTACAAACTTACCTCTAAATTTTCAGTCCTGCGAACAAACGGGTTTGAAAGTTAACAATTTAGATGTATCTCAACCTTACGCTATCTACAAACAGTTTATTACTGATCTAATCATTGACATCATAGTGGAGGAAACTAACAGATACGCACATCAGATCATTCAATCGAAGCCACTGCGACCACGGTCTCTGTTGAAAACTTGGACAGATACTAACAGAGCAGAAATGAAAAAATTTCTAGCTATCTTGCTAATAATGGGGATCAATCAGCTACCAAAAATGCGTCTATATTGGTCAAATGATAAAATGTACGCTAATGAGCGAATAAAAAAAAATATGAATCGCAACAGATTTGACCAGTTATTGAAATGCTTGCATTTTTCTGATAACAATGATCCACTAGCTGGCCAAAACAGACTCTCGAAAATAAAAAATGTTGTAAACCTCATTTGTCAACAGTTCAAGGAGACACTTGTTCCTGGTCAGAAAGTCGTGATTGATGAGAGCATGGTACCTTGGAGAGGCAGGTTGGTGTTCCGTCAATACTTACCAGCAAAAACACACAAATACGGAGTGAAACTGTACAAAATATGCACGACTAAAGGTTATACTTACGATTTGCGTATTTATGCAGGAAAAAATGATGCCACTGTAGCAACGAACACGCAGGGGCATACTTATAATGTATGCATGGACTTAATGCAAGACCTTAAACATTCGGGAAGAATTTTGTTTATGGATAACTTCTATACAAGTGTCAAACTATGCAAGGACCTTTTAACCGAAGGAACATATGTCTGTGGCACTTTACGGACTAATAGAAAGGGAAATCCTAAAGATGTATGCGCTAAAAAGCTGAAAAAGGGACAGATTTACGGCGAGCAGAACGAAGATGGGGTTCGTGTCTTGAAATGGGTAGATAAGCGGCAAGTACTAATGATAAGTACTGTACCACATCACACTGATGAACAGATTCCAACTGGACGTAAAAACCGACAAGGTGAAGAAGTACTAAAATCCCGCGCTATTATTGATTACAATCACGCCAAAAAGGAGTTGACATTTCAGATCAGATGTCTTCTTATTACACATACCTCCGAAAAAGTGTGAAGTGGTATAAGGTTATTTTTGAGATTATTCTCGAAACATGTGTTGTCAATGCATGGGTCATACATAGCTCTCACAACCAAGCTAAAAACAAACTTGACATGCTACGATTTAGAGAAAAACTTATAGATGGATTGCTATCCGATACAGAAGAAAATGGCGATTCTAGAGAGGCCGCTGGAGAAATAAGAGTAGTGCATGATGTTCCGGGTAATAAGAGTTCGAGAAAACGGGCCAGAAGTAGCCACAGGCTAGGGAAATATGAAGTAAATGCGAGAAAAAGCAGAAAACGATGCTCTAATTGCTACAAGATGCTCAAAGATGAGAAAGGTAGGAAAGTGGCATCGGCGCAAGCAAGTAAGGTCCTTACATTATTAGTAGTTAGATTTTTTTACTTTAAAAACATCTGGAATAGTATTGTAAGATGTAATATTATTAGAATTTGTTTTATTTTCTGAACTTTATGTTATCTAATACCTACATCTAAAAAAAATATATATTTTGTAATATTATTTTAAACTTTATCGTTAGTATTTTTCCCTTTACTTATATCACTGTTCTAGTGTTTTTCAGAAAAAAAGAACAATCTAATGTTTCAGTTAAGTTTTTGAATCATAAAATATACTTTCTCTAAACTAGAAGTGTCTTTAGTGCTTACACAGTTCCTTTCCGAAAACCACGGTGAATCTAGACAGATATACCATTTCCATAGCCGTCACTGCAGTATTATATTCCCCCGAATAAACTGTATAGTTTTAGGTTCAATGATATACTGCCTTGGCCAGAAGTATTGAGCACCCCGAAAATATTTCACGTACGCTATAATGATAGACGAAAAGAAAAACTAATGGTTATACAAATATTTGTAGGTATCAAAACCGGTTTGTAAATAATTTCTTATCTCCTTACTTTCGTTAAAACACGTAGTTTTTTGGAGACTAGTCAGTTTTACCTTTTTAGTGCGTGTTCATCAGTTTGATGCTATCGCTCATTGTGAACAAACAGTCAAGTGATTTAGTGCAATATTGATGATTTTATTTCGAGAATCTGAGTTCAACTCTTGTAATATGGCAAAAACGAATGAACTGAGCATTGAAAAACGTGGCAAAATACAGGTTTTCCATGAACAAGGGAAGTCCCAAGTAGACATTGCAAAAACAGTGAAGTGCTCGCGTCGATGTGTACAATACACTATCCAGCGATTCTCTCAGACCAGTTCACATAAAGATAGGCCTAGATCTGGCCGCAAACGGATCACTACAGATCGCCAAGACCGAATATTGACGAGAGAATCTTTGAAAAATCGGAAAAAAACTTCTTTGGTCCTCGCTGCCGAACTATCAGAGCAAATTAATAGACCGATTTCTACTCGAACTGTTCGCCGAAGGCTTCAAGAAGTTGGTCTAAATGGCCGCAAAGCTAGAAAGAAGCCATGGCTCTCAGACAAAAACAAAAAGGCTCGATATAAATGGGCTTTAAAATACAAAAGCTTCACTGAAGAGGATTGGTCAAATATTGTATGGTCAGACGAATCAAACTTTGAGGTACGTTGGTTAATTTGATGCAGTAACGAGGTGTAACAATAATTTTTGAAACAAAATGACAAGAAGAAAATATTCAACTAAGCAACTACTTAATGACATTTCTTCATTTTTCAGATTTTTGGTACACCTGGTGTGACATTTGTTCGTCGTCGAGTAGGAGAAGAATTCAATCAGGAGTGTGTGGTGCCTACTTTGAAACATGGTGGCGGTAGCGTAATGGTCTGGGGCTGCATGAGTGCTTCAGGAGTGGGAGAAATGTTCGTGTGTGAGGGTCGCATGGATGCCACAAAGTACATAAACGTACTCGAAAATGCTCTTTTGCCGTCGTTTACTGCACTTTATGGCGATACCAACATGAATGGCGTCAAATTTCAGCAGGACAATGCGCCTTGCCATAAAGCTGCACGGACAATGGCTTGGTTCAGAGAAAACTGCATCGAGCTTCTGGATTGGCCAGCCCAGTCACCAGACTTGAACCCGATTGAACATTTGTGGGGCTTATTGAAGCGCAAGATCAGGCGTCATACATTCCTGAAGCGCCGTCTACGTGAGGAATGGAACGCTTTAACTTACGAAGAATGTACTTGTACGATCTTTACCTAAAAGAATTTCTGCCGTGATTAAGGCGAAGGGTGGAACCACAAAATATTGATTTTCTTTCAATACTAAGCCATATAAAGCTAGAAAAAATTGTGTGAATTTCTCCCAACTTAATGGTCCCCTAGAATTTAAAGATATCGAGCGTGCTCAATACTTTTGGCCAAGGCTGTATGCATTAGACCGTGACCCACCGGTGGGCGCGCACGGCTCTTGGCAAGTAATGGTGTGACCCACCGGTGGTTCACATTGTCGCGAACGTGTTAAAGTGTTAAATTGCTTTTTCAAAACACATAATGTATCCAAAAAATGTGAATTTAAGCCCAATGTAAGTTTTTCTACTTTTTCAATAAACTTATTATAAAAAAGTTGTGTATTGGTTTTCATACATACAGCTTAATATAACTGCAATGAGTAAATGTCAGCTTCCGTATTTACAAAAAAAAAATACATTTATTGTATCATTAATGTCTTGAAAAGTAATTTTCAAAACAACTCTATGAAAAAAAATTCTTAGTTCGGAGACATAATTTTTTTGAAACCAGGTGCAGGGGTCAAAGTGTTAAGAACAGTTTGTCAATTCTCTAACTACATCATCAACTGTTGTTGATACTTTGAGTGATGATAGTTGTGATGAAGATGAAACCTAAATATTATACTACTCTCCAAAGTAATGTATTTTCTCAAGAATAATATTTTACGTTTTTATTGTATTTCATTATGTATCTTAGATAATAAAAATGGCAAAAGTTGATGAAATATATTTTTTTTCAGTTGAAAAATGGTCAATGTCATTTTTTTCAAGTTAGATTTGAACAATTGTGAACATTTTAGTCTAGCTGTGAATATCATCTATTTACATTTTTACATAATGACAATTTATAATAATATGGAAACGTGTCTACAGCTGAACACACAATTTTATGAAAACCTTCCAACCTAATTATCTCAAAACCATTGTTTTTGACATTTGCCGTTTTAGAACCAAGCCACAGATATATATCTCTACCATTTGACTAACTACAGCTGTAGAATCTAACTGGATACAAGACAACCACAAGTGAGTTCCATAAGAACTATTTCACATCATCGTTTACTTTAGGCCTCGTGGCTTCAACCATCAGTTCATACAATTGAACAATTTGCTCATCTTTCAATTTCTCTACATCGTCTGGAGAAAGCGATGTACCTAGCTTGTCTTTAGCAGTCTTTGGTCCTCTTAGTCCCAGTTGTTCAGCTAGAGAGATTGCATAGTTCTGTAATAAATGGCACTCATCAATATCTGCATATTGTGGGTAATACTGCAATTCAGCCCCTCAAACCATGTACCTATCTTGAAAAAATTAACATTGCAATTTCGCGAAATTCTCAATTAATGTGAGGAGATGGGGCAAATACTTTATCCTCTGCCTCGAGGCGCACACTTCTATGAAGCTGACCCTACTCTGTGCTTCAACTTTTTCTTCATGCTCAAGCAACATGTAAGTAGTATAATATTCCAAAACTGATAATGAACTTACCGTCCACTCATTCATAAATATCACAGTTTCATGCTCGTTGCAATTTTTGTGCTTTCTGAATTCATCTCTAACATAATTGGTTCCAACCACTTGAAGTTCCATTGGAAGGCCCCTGTGTAACTTCAGAATGGTTTTATACAAGACTCTGACTCGCTGAACATGTGAAAATGACATTCTTCCTGAAGTCAACGCTTTTCATTATCAGGAAGACCAAAGTATAGTCAGGAAAATTTAAGAATTCTAGCCATATTACCAAATCAAAATGATTTCAAAATCAAAAAGTTAGGTTAAAAGTTTGCCACTCAATTAAGGTAGTCATACACTGTTTTCTCTTTTTTGGCAGTCTTGCTCGACGTGTTAACAATGGCTGCGATTCTGCAAATCTGGACCTTCCGCGGGGAAATCACCTAACTTGAAAAGTGACATTAGGTCGGTTTTTTGGCTTTACGTAATAACTCTGCGGGTTCCAAGGTTTAAGTGGGTTTAATCAATTAACAAAGGGTCGTTGGTCACCTGATCCTTTGTCGGTTGATCGACCCTACTAAAAATGCAAGCATACTCATACTCAGTATTTGTTTGAAACGTGAAGCTTCGGGATCTACAGAATTAATTTGTTTGGACTTACTGCGGTACTTGCTAATATTGTTGGCGGGGTATATGGTCGGAAAAGAGCGGTCTGTGGCCAACTTCTCGAATTATACATCAAGAATGACTTGATCGGCACTGCACAATAGACTGCTGACACTAGGCGATCGAGTATGAATTTAGAATACATAGAATATTTCTATGAACGCTCTGCAATTTCACAAATAAGCCCAAATTTATTGCACAGTTATTTTATCCTACCGAGTCCTGCATATTTTGAAAGTTACCTAGTACCCCACGGATAGATCACAGTAGTAGTTCACTTTCCTCCCCAACAAAAACGCCCTACAAAACTTCATGATTGTTTTGGCAATCATATTCAAACTCAACGTTTCAAATAAATTACCTGTGTATCAAGCTTCATTATCTAGTACTAAAGGTAAGAAACGTTATTGGATATCTCGCACTGTAAAAAGTTCTATAATATTTTGCATGAATCTGAATTAGTGATACTAAGGCCCGTATCGTCAGTCATTTCTACAATTGTAGGACGCCTTTATGACCTCCTTGATTGTCATAGTTTTCTTCTTTTCCGTGTCAGCGCTCTATTATGAGGTTATGTCACAAATATCTATTTGCATCAAATTGTGCATGTTTTTGGTTTGTATCATGTTTTATCAGCCTGAAATTTCCTACAATTTAAAAAGAAAACATATCTTCACAATAGGAGAGCGCTGACGCTGACACAGAACAGGTGCAATCTAGAAATTTTTGAAGGAGAGAAAGAAGTGTGACAATCAATGAGACCATAAAGGCGTCTTACAATTTTAGGAACGACTGACGATACGGCCCTAAAGCATAAAACCCAATCTGCTTTTTTTTCAATAATGGGACGTGTTACCTTATCAATCATTTGAAGCTAATAATGCAATCATATAATTTATTTTTATCTGGATTTAATGTAGCTATAATTCAAAAATGATACGAACCTCCCTACAGAACTGGCAGAGAATCATTAAGATCCCGTATTTAATGTTGATGACGAGAGATAAGAACACGTATGTTAGAGTGGCAGCCCAAAACAACCGTGCCCGACACCAACGCCAACGAGTCTGAGACGATGGCTCTTTCTGTTATCACGCATCTCGCTCTAACATACGTGCATCTCTCTGTATCTATTTCTCGTGCACATTAAATACGGGACCTCAATGATTCTCTGCCGATACCGTATATTGGTGTTATACAATGCTGACTAAATTTAGAAAGAGTGCGCCATATAAGCGTCATCACGCTGCCTAGCGATGAGAGTGGGGGAGGGCGCGGGCCGTGGGCAACGTAATAACCACGCTAATAGGGCACACTCTTTATATCATAAGTGTTGCAGGGCATTGCACGTTTCTCTCTTTCGTACACTTGGAAACCCGATGGGAAAACGACTTTGGCCAACACGCGGGCGAGATTTTTCTATCATCCGACAAAATTACTGATAACAAAGTATGACTTGAATATATCCATCATTTTCCTCGCTTCTGGACCACTTTTTGCCAGACTGTCCCAGAAGGGGTGTTATTTAAATGCAGACAAATGTTATTTCAGGGATACAGGTCAAACGTCTCAATAGATTTGGACATATGAGGTATTGTTGGATTCTCCTTAGCATTGCGAGTGGCACTGGCTATATTAACATTTTATTATAAAATATGGCCGATTGGAATAAGAAATCAATTTTGAAATCTCCACAGATGCAGCTACAGCCTAAACAGCCTGATGTACTTGTCTCTAGATTTGTCTTGGCAGTGAGAGTGACGCTGAAGAGACTGATTTATAAAATCAAAATCTTGGATTCCAAAAGTAAACCTTGACCTTGAAAGTTGTATTTCATGGACAACAGGTCAAGCGATTTTGACAAGTGAGGGTGTCCTCATATTCGTCTTGATAACATAATTAAATCTTCATTCTTTCAAGTTACTACAGTCTGGCTGTTCGCATTTTTTAAAGATGTACTTGTTTTCCACAGCCGTCTTAAAATTAAATAACTTGCAAAAATGACAGCGCAGTGACAAATGAATCACAAAAATAAGTTTCCAGTGAAAACACCAGTTTGTTGCAGCGTACGAGATTTTCGTACGACAGATCTTGAATGCGAGATTCCCTGACCACAAAGGGTTAAGGTAAATGTCCCAAACTTTGACATTTTAAGGGAAATCTCATATCTAGATTTTTTAAATTGTTATTAACATGTGGAGATACAACTGTTTTTCGTGAAGACAGGCATTTTGAGAGTAGTTAAATGCAAAAAAATCTTTGTAGTTTTTGTTTTTTAGAAACTCTCCATTTGAATCTTGTTTCGTGACGAAATTTCTCCTTACCTCTAACCTCGTGGCCGTGTATCCCTTATTCCGTGATACAGACCTTGGGTATATAATTTGGGATATTTAAATTTTCATAAAACAACATAAACAGCCCAACTAACAATTATCACTCCTATTAGAGTTTCAAGAATGATTATACAGTATTCCTTACACAGCATTGTACAGTGTAAGAACATTGGCAAAACCCTCTTAGAAAAGCTAAACAAGCGGAGTGGGCACACCCTAACTAACAATTATCACTCCTATTAGAGTTGCAAGAACGATTATACAGTCTTCCTTACACAGCATTGTATGCTGTAAGAACATTGGCAAAACGCTCTTAGAACAGCTATGCAATCGGAATGGGCACACCTACTAGGACACTTCAGTCATTTAAGAAGTTGTATAAGGGCTGTAGGTAACAGTTATACAACAAAAGTGTAAACCTCTTGCAGCAGCTATACAGGGTTATCCAAATTAAGTGTCCACCATTAGTAACTTTGATATTAGTGAAAATACAAAGTTGTTTGAATTAGCAAACTAGTAGCATTTTTAACGCTGGTAAAAATGAGAAATAAAAAAAAACAATTGAGAGTCGTTATTTTGATTTTTTTCAGTAAAATAACATTTTTTTAAATAGAAACCCCTGTATATTATATTTTTTTCTGTTAAAGCATCAAATTTTAAACAAAAAATCCCACAATAACTTTTCTCCTAGGTTACAAATTGTTGAAGTTATGGCCTCCAATCTGAAACAATTAAATTGTATCGACAAACTTTATTTTCAACATCAACTTATAATCTTACAAAATACAATAACAATTTTTTTTAAAGAAGATGCTCGAAAACACCACCTTGTTCTTCAATACATTTTTGGGCACGTTTTTCAACTGCTCGAACTGTCTTAAGTATGGTCCTACCATCTATCTGGGTTATCTTTTCCCTAACTGCAGTCTTTAACGCGTCAAGGTTATCGTACCTTCGCTTGTAAATTTGGTTCTTTAAGTAACCCCACAAGAAGTAATCAAGTGGGTTTAGATCTGGTGATCTGGGAGGCCACTGTATTGGGCCATTTGTTCCTATCCACTGATCATTAAAAGTAGTACTTAGAAAATGATAAGTACCTCTGGAGTTGTGGGCAGGTGCGCCATCTTGCTGAAAATGCAGATGATGTCTACTTATAAGATCCAATTCGTCTAAGAAATTAGTCAGAATTTCTGACATAAATTCCACATATCTTTCACCAGTTAGGGTTCCCTCATAAAAGAACGGGCCAACAATTTTTGAACCAATTATACCGCACCAAACGTTGAAACTGAAACGGACTTGTGGGCCTCTTGGATGTACTAACAAAAGATTTTCTCTTGACCAATAATGGTGGTTTTTTCTATTAAACATGCCAGAATTTGAAAAATTTGATTCATCTGTCCATAAAAGGTAACGAAAGTTATTTACATTTTGGCGACAGAAGCTAAGATACCAATGGCAAAAAACAAGTCTTCTCTCTGGATCCCCTGCCAAAAGCGTTTGAACTGGTCGGTACTTATACGGAATAAATTTGTATTTTTTTAAAATCCTTTGAACAGTACCATAACTGAAATTAGAGTCCTTGAGAATATCTGCTATTGAATTCTCACGATAAGCTTCAAAATATCCAATAACTGCAATTTCCGTGGCCTCGCTTATTATGAATTCTTTTTTTTGCCCTTGTTTTAGCAAAAACATTTTGGTTGCCCCTAAATTTTCGATAAAGTCTCAGAAAATATCGTTCATACGGTTGAATGCGAGCGGGATATAATTCACTGTATATTCTCTTGCTCTCAAGGAGGATTTTCTGCACACTAAATAGCATTCTAACATATCACACTTTTCTTCATGGGAGAACATTTTTCTTTAAATTAATGACACAATAAAGCTTATAAACAAGTATTTACACTAATGTTTGACATTATTTGATTTTATCATTGTTTTCCAAAGCCTTCTAGTTGCGAGTATGTCCAGTTTAACAATTTGTCGCTTATCTTAATGCTGTCAAATCGCGAACGCCATGTTGTTTTCATAGCCGTCTTAATATTATAATACTGCAAATAATTAAAAATATTTATCGTTATTTTGACTTTATTTTTGACTTTAGCGGAAAAGTCATTATGAACTTTTTTGTTTAAAATTTGATGCTTTAACAGAAAAAAATATAATATACAGGGGTTTCCATTTAAAAAAATGTTATTTTACTGAAAAAATCAAAATAACGACTCTCAATTGTTTTTTTTTATTTCTCATTTTTACCAGCGTTAAAAATGCTACTAGTTTGCTAATTCAAACAATTTTGTATTTTCACTAATAACAAAGTTACTAATGGTGGACACTTAATTTGGATAACCCTGTAGAACATTTGCGTCGGTGCAAGATTCAGTTTTTGTCA